ATCTATCTATCTATTTATTTTTTTTCTATCTATTATTTATTATCTATCTATTTTCTATTATTTATTTCTATCTATCTATCTATTATCTATCTATCTATCTATTTTTTCTATCTATTATCTTTATTATTATTTTTTTTTTATTATTATCTTTTTTTTTTTTATCTATCTATTTTATCTATTTATTATCTTTTTTATCTTTCTATCTATCTATTTCTTTTTTTATCTATCTATCTATTTTCTATCTTTTTTTTATATTATCTATTATTATCTATCTATCTATTATTATCTTTTTTCTTTTATCTATCTATCTATCTATCTATCTATCTTTTTTTCTATCTATTTATCTATCTATTATTTATCTATTATCTATCTATTATCTATTTCTTTTATTTATCTATTTTATCTATTTTCTATCTATTTTATTTATTATTTATTTTTTTTTATATTTTTTATTATTATCTTTTTTATTATTTTTTTCTATCTTTTTCTATTTTCTATCTATTATCTATCTTTTTTATCTATTATTATCTATCTATTTTATCTATTTTATCTTTTCTATTTTTTTTATCTATCTATCTATCTATCTATTATCTATCTATCTATCTATCTATCTATTTTATTATTATTTTTTCTATCTTTATTTTTTATCTATCTATATTATCTATTTCTTTTTATTATTTATCTATCTATTTTATTTCTATCTATTTTTTTCTATCTATCTATTATCTATTATCTATTTATTTTATCTATCTTTATCTATTTATTATCTTCTATTTTTTCTATCTATTTATTATCTATTATCTATTTTTCTATCTATTATTATCTATCTATCTATCTATTTTTCTATCTATCTATCTATCTATTTATCTATCTATCTATCTATCTTTTCTATCTATTATCTATCTATCTTCTTTATTATTTTATTTTTTTTTTCTATTTTATCTTTTTTTTTATCTATCTATTTTATTTTTTCTATCTATTTTCTATTATCTATTATTATTTTCTATTTATCTTCTATCTATTTTTATCTATTTATCTATTATTTTTTTTTATCTATCTATTTTTTTATCTATCTTTTATTTTATCTTTCTATCTTTATTATCTATTTATTTATCTTTATCTATCTTTATTTTTTTTTATCTATCTATCTATTATCTATTATCTATTATCTTTTATCTATTATTTATTATCTATTATTATTTATTTTTTTTATTATTTATTTTTTTATTATCTATTTTTTTTTTATTTTTTTATTATCTTTCTATTATCTATCTATCTATTATTTATTATTATCTATTTTATTTATCTATTATTATTTTCTATTATCTATCTTTTCTATCTATCTATATTATTTTATTATCTATTTTTTTCTTTCTATTATCTATCTATCTATTATCTATCTATTATCTATCTTTTTTATCTATTTCTATTATTATCTATCTATCTATCTATTTATTATTATTATCTATTTATCTATCTATTTTTTCTATTTCTTTATTTTATTTATTTTTTATCTATTATCTATTATCTATTATTATTTTTTCTATCTATCTATTTTTTTCTATCTCTTTTATCTATCTATCTATTATCTATTATTATCTTTATTATCTATCTATCTATTATCTATCTATTATCTATTTATCTATTTTTATTATCTATTTATCTTTTTTTCTTCTATTATCTTTTTCTTTTTATCTATCTATTTATTTATTTTTATCTATCTTTTATCTTTATCTATCTATTTTCTATTATCTATCTTTTTTATTATTTTTATTTTTTTTTATTTTTATCTATCTTTTTTATCTATTATCTATTTTCTATCTATTTATTTTTCTATTATCTATCTATTATCTATCTATTATTATCTATTTTTTATCTATTTATTTTCTATTTCTATTATTTTTCTATTTTTTTTTATCTATTATCTATCTATTTATTTATCTATTTCTATTATATTTATTATTTTTATTTCTATTATCTTTCTATCTATTTTTTTATTTCTATTTCTATCTATTATCTATTTATCTATCTTTTATCTATTTATTATTATCTTTTATCTATCTATCTATCTATCTATTATTTATCTATCTATTATTTTTATTATCTATCTATCTATCTATTATTCTATCTATCTATATCTATCTTTTATCTATCTATTATCTATTATCTATCTATCTATCTATCTATCTATCTATCTATCTATTATCTATCTATTATTATCTATCTATCTATCTATTCTATCTATCTATCTATCTATCTATCTATCTATCTATCTATCTATTATCTATTATTTTTTTCTATTATCTTTCTATCTATCTATCTATTCTTATCTATTTTTTTATTTATCTATTATCTATCTATCTATCTTTTATCTATTATATCTTTCTATTTATTATCTATCTATCTATTTTCTATTTATTTATTATCTATCTATCTATCTTTCTTATTTTTTTTTTTATCTATCTATTCTATTATCTATTTATCTATCTATCTATCTATCTATTTTTTTTATTTATATTCTATTATTCTATCTATCTATTATTTATCTATCTATCTATTATTTATCTATCTATCTATCTATCTTTCTATTTTTTATCTATTATTATTATCTATCTATCTATTATCTATCTATCTTCTATCTATCTATTTTATCTTTTTATCTATATCTATCTATTTTTTTTATCTATCTATCTATCTATTATCTATCTATTATTTATCTATTATCTATTATCTATCTATCTATCTATCTATCTTCTATTTCTATTTATTTTTATCTATCTATCTAATCTATCTATCTTTATCTATCTATTATTATCTATCTATTTATCTATTAATCTATCTATTATCTATCTATCTTTTCTATCTATCTATTATCTATCTATCTATCTATTATCTATCTATCTATCTATTATCTATTATCTTTTATCTATTTTTCTTTCTTTTCTTCTATTTTATTTTTTTTTTTTTATCTATTATCTATCTATCTATCTATCTATCTATCTATCTATCTATCTATCTATCTATCTATCTATTATCTATCTATCTATTCTATCTATCTATCTATCTATCTATCTATCTATTATCTATCTATCTATCTATCTATCTATCTATCTATCTATCTATCTATCTATCTATCTATCTATCTATCTATCTTATATATTATCTATCTATTATCTATCTATCTATTATCTATTTCTATCTATCTATCTATCTATCTATCTATCTATCTATCTATCTATTACTCTATCTATCTATCTATCTATCTATCTATCTATCTATCTATCTATCTATCTATCTATCTATCTATCTCTATTATCTATCTATCTATCTATCTATCTATCTATCTATTATCTATCTATCTATCTATCTATCTATCTATCTATTATCTATCTATCCATCTATCTATCTATCTATCTATCTATCTATCTATCTGTCTATCCACAAACACAGTATATAACGATTCAGATGGAGAACCCCTAAATATCAAAATTAAATGTATATAACCCCAAAAAACAAAAATGTCATATTTTGCAGGTTACTAATCCTTAGATATGGTGGCTGCATTTGTTTTCTTTTTTTTCCTTTTATCTCCTCTGGTGATCCTGCCCGAAACACACTTCCTACTGTTTTCAAAGAATGGGAGCACCATGCCTATTGTGGAGTCGACATGTTTCGGGGGGGCTCAGCGCTCCCCGTTCCTCAGGACTAAAAACTAGACAATGGAGAAAATACAAAAAGCCCTTCAAATGTGCTAAAGGCTACATATAAATATATATATATAGTATATACGTCAGGTAATGCTCCGCATGCATGCGGTCTGCACTTTTCTCAGCCTCTGTTCCGGAGTTCCTTCCTTCCAGCTGCAGCCCGCTCACATATTGGCTCCCTATAGTTAATATTAGGACCTACTTGGCAAGAAAACCGTATTGTTCACGGATTGTATGAACAGTTTCTTTGTTCCTTTTGTGCTTTGTGTTGGTTGAGTTGTTTTTTGTTTTCTTGTTTTTGTTTTTTTTTTTGTCTTGTTGTTTCAACAAGAACGCTTTTTTTTTTTTTTTTTTTGGCTTTTTGTGTTGCTCTGCCACCTTAATAAGAACATGTTTAGTTTTTTTTTTTTTTGTATTTCTTTTTCTTGGTTTTTATACTTCAAGCAATGTTTGTGCTTTTTCGGCTACGATAATATTACCAACATTTTCAGCCCTGATGAAGGGGGGGGGGGGGGGGGGGAGCGCTGAGCCTCCGAAACGCGTTGGATGTTGCAAAAAAAAAAAGAACTTTTATAATACTGTACAAGCTGGTGTGGCGCTGCCATCCTTTTAAATTTTTAGTTAAAGTGATACTAAAGTCTTGTGTTTTTGGGGGGTTATTTTTAATACACGTACTTACATACAGGGCTGCTGTTAGAAACCACGGGACCCCAAACAGCCAACCTGACAGGACCCTCAAAAAAAAAAAAAAACACAGTTTGCTATGCTTTAGTTATGAATGAACACAGTGAATGATCGGTACTGATCACTCATTGCATTCATTCGGGAAAGCAAGGCACTGGTAAATGTGACATATTTGCCAGACCCTTCCCTCAGTCTCCATCCTGAAGGAACCTTTTGCACAACTGCAGTTGCCAGTGGAAAGGAGAGGTGGGAAGCCGGAAGCTCAGTGGGGGTGGGGGCACACAGGGGGTCCTGGGTGACAAGGGGAAACATACGGTGTACAGGGAGGGTGATGGGTGTGGCGGGGGGAGGGGGGTTGAGTTACTGGAACTGATCCCCTGTACGGCTCTCTCTGCAGCAGATGAAAGCCAGCAGGAGGGAGAGGGAAGAAGCCAGCTGCTGCAGAGAGAGCCATGCAGGGGATTGGTTCCAGCAATTGCCCCCCCCCCCCCTCGCCATGCCAAGCCATTCCAGTCCAGGGGAGGAGCCGGTACACCTGTGCAAGACTGAAGGGGAGGAGACTGTACACCTGTGCAAGACTGAGGGGGAGGAGCTGGTACACCTATGCAAGACTGGAGGGGAGGAGCCGGTACACCTGTGCAAGACTGAAAGGGAAGAGCCAGTAAACCTGTGCAAGACTGAAGGGGAGGAGCCGGTACACCTGTGCAAGACTGAAGGGGAGGAGCCGGTACACCTGTGTAAGACTGAAGGGGAGGAGCTGGTACATCTATGCAAGACTGAAGGGGAGGAGACTGTACACCTGTGCAAGACTGAGGGGGAGGAGCCGGTACACCTGTGCAAGACTGAAGGGGAGGAGCCATCACCTGTGCAAGACTGAAAGGGAGGAGCCAGTACACCTGTGCAAGAATGAAGGGGAGGAGCCATCACCTGTGCAAGACTGAGGGGGAGGAGCCGGTACACCTGTGCAAGACTGAAGGGGAGGAGCCATCACCTGTGGAAGACTGAAAGGGAGGAGCTGTTTTACCCATGCAAGCCTGAAAGGGAGGAGCCAGTACATCTATACAAGACTGAAGGGGAGGAGACTACACCTGTACAAGACTGGAGGGGGGGGCCGGAGGGGGGATTTAAGGTGGATCTGTCAGAATCAGCACTTCTTCTAATAGGGGACATAGTCATTTGGACCCCTTGTGTAGAACACTCTGTGTCTGTATCTGCGGAGTCGCTCTCATTCTCCGCCGTCTCCCTCCTCTCGCCTGGAATTTAAATCATTCTTTGTAAATGCCCCGGGTTAATTTAAATCTCAGAAAACACATTAAGGAGTGAACTGCCATGTGCTGTAATTCAGATTTTAATTTGCCGAGCAGCGCGCGTGTTGATGTAAATAGGAGGAATTAATGAGCGTTTGTTAGGGGGGCTTCCTCGAGTGCGCCGATAATTAGCTCCCTTTGTTATTACGGCGGCAGATAGCGGCATTGTCTGGGAGGTGTAAAACATCCGCCTTGTCTTAAGTGCTAATGTGGCCCATTTATCTTCCTCTAATCATTGTTTATGTGAAAATTTCCCCCGCAGGACGAGGCCGCCCAACCGCTCAACTTGTCAGCGCGACCGAAGACGGCCGAGCCCGTGAAGTCGCCCACGTCTCCCACGCAGAAACCTCTTCCCGCCCAGTAAGACCAGCCCGGTGAGCCTCTCCAGCAAGAGCGGGATTCCCAGCCCAATCAGTGGAGTTCTGGGCCGGGGCTCCTCCTTAGGTAAGTGGGACAGGTGCTCTTTACCGGCGCCCAGATCTTCAGGAAAGACTGCTCAGGGATCTACAGCCATCAGCTTTTTTACTGATGATGAGAGACCTGAGACTCAATTCACAAAGCTTTACCGCAAGGCTAGGGATCTTTATTTTAGTCAGGTGACTGTCATTCTCCAATCTTATTGGACTGAAAATAACTGTCACTTTTTGAATATAAGGATCCTTATTCTGGCATGTTAGCTTTGTCAAATGAGCCGTATATCTGATGTCAGGTCCTCAGTGGTGGTGCCTTCATAAATACTTGGGTCTGATAGCCCATTTCAGGACAGCCGATTCCAGATTAGGGCTCAGACTTCACGCAGCCCTCAGTCAATGAGCTGAGGCCTTCACATCACTAAACAGCCTCTGCGAGTTTGGGGATATTTGTGGCAGCCAGTCTTGTAACAAGTATTCTTGGCCTCAGCCCTGCTGATTTCCGATAGGTGCTCAGAGAACCCATACAGCCTTTGGCCCTCCTGTGGATAGTAAGGAGCTGAGGGCTATACTTTACTGGACAGCCTCCATGTGTATTGAGGAGAAGTTTAGCTCTCGTCTCAGGGACCCATCAGAGTAAAGAAATGTGAAAAGGGGAAGCTGGCTCATTAGCTATAGCTGAGAGAATGAATGTTATCCAGAAAATAGATCATACACCAAAAATCGAAGTCCAGGAATCCATACAATGTATAAAATGATAGTTAGATGAGTATGGTGCCTGAGATAGACAAAAACAAGATATTTATCATTGGATTCATCTCTGCCATAAATGTGGCCTTCAGAGACCTTCAGTGGTATTACTATACAGAGAGCTGTAGACAAGGAAGAGAGAGTCTCAGAAAAGGCAGGAAGAGGGCTGAAGATAGACAGGGAGATGGTTGTAGATGAGGAAATGAGAGAGGGCCATAGATGAGGCAAGGAGAGAGGGCCATAGACGAGGCAAGGAGAGAGGGCCATAGACGAGGCAAGGAGAGAGGGCCATAGATGAGGCAAGGAGAGAGGGCCATAGACGAGGCAAAGAGAGAGGGCCATAGACGAGACAAGGAGAGAGGGCCATAGACGAGACAAGGAGAGAGGGCCATAGACGAGGCAGAGAGAGAGGGCCATAGACGAGGCAAAGAGAGAGGGCCATAGACGAGGCAGAGAGAGAGGGCCATAGACGAGGCAAAGAGAGAGGGCTATAGATGAGGCAAGGAGAGAGGGCCATAGATGAGGCAAAGAGAGAGGGCCATAGATGAGGCAAGGAGAGAGGGCCATAGATGAGGCAAAGAGAGAGGGCCATAGACGAGACAAGGAGAGAGGGCCATAGACGAGACAAGGAGAGAGGGCCATAGACGAGGCAGAGAGAGAGGGCCATAGACGAGGCAAAGAGAGAGGGCATAGATGAGGCAAGGAGAGAGGGCCATAGACGAGGCAAAGAGAGAGGGCCATAGATGAGGCAAGGAGAGAGGGCCATAGACGAGGCAAAGAGAGAGGGCCATAGACGAGGCAAGGAGAGAGGGCCATAGACGAGGCAAGAGAGAGAGGGCCATAGACGAGGCAAAGAGAGAGGGCCATAGACGAGGCAAGGAGAGAGGGCCATAGACGAGGCAAAGAGAGAGGGCCATAGACGAGGCAGAGAGAGAGGGCCATAGACGAGGGACAACGAGAGAGAGGGCCGTAGACGAGGCAAGGAGAGAGGGCCATAGACGAGGCAAAGAGAGAGGGCCATAGACGAGGCAGAGAGAGAGAGGGCCATAGACGAGGCAAAGAGAGAGGGCCGTAGACGAGGCAGAGAGAGAGGGCCGTAGACGAGGCAAAGAGAGAGGGCCATAGACGAGGCAGAGAGAGAGGGCCATAGACGAGGCAAAGAGAGAGGGCCATAGACGAGACAAGGAGAGAGGGCCATAGACGAGGCAGAGAGAGAGGGCCGTAGATGAGGCAGAGAGAGAGGGCCGTAGACGAGACAAGGAGAGAGGGCCGTAGAGGAGACAAGAGAGAGGGCCGTAGAGGAGACAAGGAGAGAGGGCCATAGACGAGGCAGAGAGAGAGGGCCATAGACGAGGCAGAGAGAGAGGGCCATAGACGAGACAAGGAGAGAGGGCCATAGACGAGACAAGGAGAGAGGGCGGTAGACGAGACAAGAAGAGAGGGCCGTATACAAGGCAAAGAGAGAGGGCCATAGACGAGGCAAAAGAGAGAAGGCCGTATACAAGGCCAAGAGAGAGGGCCATAGACGAGGCAAAGAGAGAAGGCCGTATACAAGGCAAGAGAGAGGGCCATAGACGAGGCAAAGAGAGAAGGACGTATACAAGGCCAAGAGAGAGGGCCGTAGATGAAGCCAAGAGAGAGGGCCATATACAAGGCAAAGAGAGAGGGCCATAGACGAGGCAAAGAGAGATGGCTGTAGTCAAGGAGAAGAGAGAGGGTCATAGACAAAGCCAAGAGAGAGGGCCCTCGATGAGGCAGGGAAAGGCCTGTAGATGAGGCAAAAAGAGGGCCTAAGATGAGGCAGGGAGTGGGTCATAGTCGAGGACAAGAGAGAGGGCCATAGACAAGGCCAGGAGAAAGGGCCTTTTTACAAGGCAATGAGAGAGGGCCGAAGATGAGGCAAAGAGAGAGGGCTGTAAATTGGGCAGGGAGCTGGCCATAGACAAGGCAGAGAAAGGGCCATAGAAAAGGCAGGAAGAGGGCCGTAGACACGGCAGGGAGAGGGCCGTAGACACGGCAGGGAGAGGGCCGTAGACAAGGCAGGGAGAGGGCCTTAGACAAGGCAAGAAGAGGGCCGTAGACACGGCAGGGAGAGGGCCGTAGACAAGGACAGGGAGAGGGCCTTAGACAAGGCAAGGGAGAGGGCCGTAGACAAGGCAGGGAGAGGGCCTTAAACAAGGCAGGGAGAGGGCCATAAACAAGGCAGGGAGAGGGCCGTAGACAAGGCAAGAAGAGGGCCGTAGACAAGGCAGGGAGAGGGCCGTAGAGAAGGCAGGGAGAGGGCCGTAGACAAGGACAAGGCAGGGAGAGGGCCGTAGACAAGGCAGGGAGAGAGGGCCGTAGACAAGGCAAAGAGAGAGGGCCATAGACGAGGCAAAGAGAGAGGGCCGTATACAAGGCCAAGAGAGAGGGCCATAGACGAGGCAAAGAGAGAAGGCCGTATACAAGGCCAAGAGAGAGGGCCATAGACGAGGCAAAGAGAGAAGGACGTATACAAGGCCAAGAGAGAGGGCCGTAGATGAAGCCAAGAGAGAGGGCCATATACAAGGCAAAGAGAGAGGGCCATAGACGAGGCAAAGAGAGATGGCTGTAGTCAAGGAGAAGAGAGAGGGTCATAGACAAAGCCAAGAGAGAGGGCCCTCGATGAGGCAGGGAAAGGCCTGTAGATGAGGCAAAAAGAGAGGGCCTAAGATGAGGCAGGGAGAGGGGTCATAGTCGAGGACAAGAGAGAGGGCCATAGACAAGGCCAGGAGAAAAGGCCTTTTACAAGGCAATGAGAGAGGGCCGAAGATGAGGCAAAGAGAGAGGGCTGTAAATTGGGCAGGGAGCTGGCCATAGACAAGGCAGAGAAAGGCCATAGAAAAGGCAGGAAGAGGGCCGTAGACACGGCAGGGAGAGGGCCGTAGACACGGCAGGGAGAGGGCCGTAGACAAGGCAGGGAGAGGGCCTTAGACAAGGCAAGAAGAGGGGCCGTAGACACGGCAGGGAGAGGGCCGTAGACAAGGCAGGGAGAGGGGCCTTAGACAAGGCAAGAAGAGGGCCGTAGACAAGGCAGGGAGAGGGCCTTAAACAAGGCAGGGAGAGGGCCATAAACAAGGCAGGGAGAGGGCCGTAGACAAGGCAAGAAGAGGGCCGTAGGGGACAAGGCAGGGAGAGGGCCGTAGAGAAGGCAGGGAGAGGGCCGTAGACAAGGATAGTCAGGCAGGGAGAGGGCCGTAGACAAGGCAGGGAGAGGGCCGTAGACAAGGCAAAGAGTGGGGCCGTAGACAAGGCAGGGAGAGGGCCGTAGACATGGCAGGGAGAGGGGCCGTCCAAGAGAAGGACAAGGCAGGGAGAGGGCCATAGACAAGGCAGGGAGGGGCCGTAGACAAGGCAAGGAGAGGGCCGTAGAGGAAGGCAGGGAGAGGGCCGTAGACAAGGCAGGGGAGAGGGCCGTAGTAGCCGATAGAGAAGGACAAGGCAGGGAGAGGGCCATAGACAAGGCAGGGAGAGGGCCGTAGACAAGGCAGGGAGGAGGGCCGTAGACAAGGCAGGGAGAGGGCCGTAGAGAAGGCAGGGAGAGGGCCGTAGACAAGGCAGGGGGAGAGGGCCGTAGAGAAGGCAGGGAGAGGGCCGTAGATCCAGGGACAAGGCAGGGAGAGGTCTATAGACTTGCACAGTCAATAAAGGGCGGATTGTTAGTCGTCCTCTAATAATCACAACTCGTTCTATTTTTATCTTTTCCGCATCCAAAAATGATTCCTCGGTCTGAGCTGATTCACTTTCCCGGCCCGAGCAGCAAAACAAAAAGCGCCCTTCAGAGGGGTGAGGAGTCTGAGACACTTCAGGGATGGAGGGAGGGGCAGTACTGCAGTCTATAGAGGGGCCCTATACAGAGCGATCACCGATGAGGACGATCATTTTTTACAATGTCGTCGAACTTCCTTTAGATGGACATTTTGGAATATTTGTGGACTCACCATTCAAGGTGCGATAGTCACAGAGGTGGTCCATCCAATATGATAGTCACAGAGGTGGTCCATCCAATATGCGATAGTCACAGAGGTGGTCCCATCCATGCGATAGTCACAGAGGTGGTCCATCCAATGCGATAGTCACAGAGGTGGTCCATCCAGTGCGATAGTCACAGAGGTGGTCCATCCAATATGATAGTCACAGAGGTGGTCCATCCAGTGCGATAGTCACAGAGGTGGTCCATCCAATGCGATAGTCACAGAGGTGGTCCATCCAATGCGATAGTCACAGAGGTGGTCCATCCAATGCGATAGTCACCGAGGGTGGTCCATCCAATGCGATAGTCACAGAGGTGGTCCATCCAATGCGATAGTCACCGAGGTGGTCCATCCAGTGCGATAGTCACAGAGGTGGTCCATCCAATGCGATAGTCACAGAGGTGGTCCATCCAGTGCGATAGTCACAGAGGTGGTCCATCCAATGCGATAGTCACAGAGGTGGTCCATCCAGTGCGATAGTCACAGAGGTGGTCCATCCAATGCGATAGTCACAGAGGTGGTCCATCCAGTGCGATAGTCACAGAGATGGTCCATCCAATGCGATAGTCACAGAGGTGGTCCATCCAGTGCGATAGTCACAGAGGTGGTCCATCCAGTGCGATAGTCACAGAGGTGGTCCATCCAGTGCGATAGTCACAGAGGTGGTCCATCCAATGCGATAGTCACAGAGGTGGTCCATCCAATGCGATAGTCACAGAGGTGGTCCAACCAATGCGATAGTCACCGAGGTGGTCCATCCAGTGCGATAGTCACCGAGGTGGTCCATCCAGTGCGATAGTCACAGAGGTGGTCCATCCAATGCGATAGTCACAGAGGTGGTCCATCCAGTGCGATAGTCACAGAGATGGTCCATCCAGTGCGATAGTCACAGAGGTGGTCCATCCAGTGCGATAGTCACAGAGGTGGTCCATCCAATGCGATAGTCACCGAGGTGGTCCATCCCGTACTGCGTAGCGTGACGTCACTTTTGCGCGCGTTGATGCCGTTTCTTGTCCCGGCAGATATCCTGTCCAGTCTGAACGCTCCGGCTCTGTTTGGGGACCAGGATACGGTCCTGAAGGCCATACAAGAGGCGCGGAAGATGAGGGAGCAGATCCAGCGGGAGCAGCACCAACCCCACGGCATCGACGGGAAAATCCCGCTGAACAATCTGGGTCTGAACAACTGCCGGAGTGACAAGGTAATCTGACCGGGTGTCTATGGTGAATGCTGAGAGACCACACATGTTGTAGTCTGATCTCCTCCAATTGGGTGTCTATGGTGAATGCTGAGAGACCACACATGTTGTAGTCTGATCTCCTCCAATCGGGTGTCTATGGTGAATGCTGAGAGACCACACACGTTTTTAGTCTGATCTCCCCCAACCAGGTGTTTATGGTGAATGCTGAGAGACCACACATGTTGTAGTCTGATCTCCTCCAATCGGGTGTCTATGGTGAATGCTGAGAGACCACACACGTTTTTAGTCTGATCTCCTCCAACCAGGTGTTTATGGTGAATGCTGAGAGACCACACACGTTGTTAGTCTGATCTCCTCCAATCGGGTGTCTATGGTGAATGCTGAGAGACCACACACGTTTTTAGTCTGATCTCCTCCAACCAGGTGTTTATGGTGAATGCTGAGAGACCACACACGTTGTAGTCTGATCTCCTCCAATTGGGTGTCTATGGTGAATGCTGAGAGACCACACACGTTGTTAGTCTGATCTCCTCCAATCGGGGTTTATGGTGAATGCTGAGAGACCACACATGTTGTAGTCTGATCTCCTCCAATCGGGTGTCTATGGTGAATGCCGAGAGACCACACACGTTGTTAGTCTGATCTTCAACCGGGTGTCTATGGTGAATGCTGAGAGACCACACATGTTGTAGTCTGATCTCTTCCAACCGGTTGTCTGTGGTGAATGCTGAGAGACCACACACATTGTTAGTCTGATCTCCTCCAATCGGGTGTCTATGGTGAATGCTGAGAGACCACACACGTTGTAGTCTGATCTCCTCGAATCGGGTGTTTAAAGGTTGTGGTCAGGCCAATGGCTGCGGCAGAAGCATTCGGAATTAGAAGACCTTCTGGTGACTGGCTTTGATTTGCCATTTAAAGCACCCGACAAATGCTGAAAGATCCGTTGTGGGTGGAGTGATCCTTTAAGTATGTACCAGTTCCTTGTACGGGGAATGACTGCAAGCTCTGGAGCATCGGCCGTGTCCGGCTTTGTTCTTGACCCGACCTGATTCCCATCGATGTCTCGTTACGATCTGCTGTTCTCAGAATCTCAGTTTGCACCCATTCTGTGAGCCGAACGCCCCTCACCTGGTGCTCCGAGTGATCGAACAAAGAGAGGAGCCTTGAGCGAGGAGTGGGGGAGGTGGTGCAGAATTGTTCCCATTCCTGTGCCGAGCCGGGACATTGTTCTTTTGTGGAATCAGAAGTGGTGATGAGAACGCCGATCCCAATGTTCCGTCCTCCCTCCATTCCGATGTTCCGTCCTCCCTCCATTCCGATGTTCCGTCCTCCCTCCATTCCGATGTTTCGTCCTCCCTCCATTCCGATGTTCCGTCCTTCCTCCATTCCGATGTTCCGTCCTTCCTCCATTCCGATGTTCCGTCCTTCCTCCATTCCGATGTTCCGTCCTTCCTCCATTCCGATGTTCCGTCCTTCCTCCATTCCGATGTTCCGTTCCGATGTTCCGTCCTTCCTCCATTCCGATGTTCCGTCCTTCCTCCAATCCGATGTTCCGTCCTTCCTCCATTCCGATGTTCCGTCCTTCCTCCAATCCGATGTTCCGTCCTTCCTCCATTCCGATGTTTCCGTCCTTCCTCCATTCCGATGTTCCGTCTTTCCTCCATTCCGATGTTTCCGTCCTTCCTCCATTCCGATGTTCCGTCCTTCCTCCATTCCGATGTTCCGTCCTTCCTCCATTCCGATGTTCCGTCCTTCCTCCATTCCGATGTTCCGTCCTTCCTCCATTCCGATGTTCCGTCCTTCCTCCATTCCGATGTTCCGTCTTTCCTCCATTCCCGATGTTCCGTCCTTCCTCCATTCCGATGTTCCGTCTTTCCTCCATTCCGATGTTCCGTCCTTCCTCCATTCCGATGTTCCGTCCTTCCTCCATTCCGATGTTCCGTCCTTCCTCCATTCCGATGTTCCGTCCTTCTTTCCATTCCGATGTTCCGTCCTTCCTCCAATCCGATGTTCCGTCCTTCCTCCATTCCGATGTTCCGTCCTTCCTCCAATCCGATGTTCCGTCCTTCCTCCATTCCGATGTTTCGTCCTTCCTCCATTCCGATGTTCCGTCTTTCCTCCATTCCGATGTTCCGTCCTTCCTCCATTCCGATGTTCCGTCCTTCCTCCATTCCGATGTTCCGTCCTTCCTCCATTCCGATGTTCCGTCCTTCCTCCATTCCGATGTTCCGTCCTTCCTCCATTCCGATGTTCCGTCCTTCCTCCATTCCGATGTTCCCTTTCCTCCATTCCGATGTTCCGTCCTTCCTCCATTCCGATGTTCCGTCTTTCCTCCATTCCCGATGTTCCGTCCTTCCTCCATTCCGATGTTCCGTCCTTCCTCCAGACACGTGGTCACCTCTGATGGAAGGGATGACCCGTCACTGAGTGAAGACATCGTCCATCGAGTTTGGTCCGCATGGAGTGTGACCTCCTCCCATCTTGTGGTCCGTCTGGCTCCTGTATTGCTGGATGGCAGGGGCGGACTGACCATTCGGGCTCTCGGGGTCAGTAGGGGGCCTCATGAGATGCCCCTGGTACCTTTCATAGGCTTTTTGGGTGTGGTTGGAGTGTGGGAGAGGGCACAGGCGCCCCATGATCCCCTATTGCCCGGGGGCCCCATGAGTTGTCAGTCTGCGCCTGGTGGATGGTGCTGGCTGGTGGAGCCACATGAGGCACCTATTATCCACAGACAGCCAACAGGTCAGACTAGAAATTGCAGGTAGGGCAACCTTGTGCACAAATGTTGTAGCTGGTGGGTGGGGCAGACAGAAAATTTGCGTAACAATGGTGTGCGCAGCGCAGTCACCAGACCCGCGGGCACCAGGCAGATTCCCAGGGTGGCTCACGCTAGCAGTAGTTGACCACATTCAACTGGCCTTGTTCTATGAAGACATTTTGTAGGTCCTCCAAGCCACTTCTGTGGCCCATGATGCCCATAGCGGACTCTTGCACCGTGCTATCTGTCAGTCAGTGCCAGAAAATGGGAGTTCCGTTATTGGCGGATTATAGCGATTGGCGAACTTTCCAGACGTGGTCCATTCCTTCACATTGATACGTGAAAGAACAAAGAGATACAACGTGTGTCAATAGTCATCAGAACATTCCCTTCCACCTTCAGTGGTCCTCAAACTTTCCGATACGCCTCAACATACTGAATGCAGGCTTAGGCCATGTTTTGGCACCGGAGTTAGTCCACTTTTTGTGAACGGAACCCTCAGGGGCCACTTACAGCCTTTAAACGCCACCCAAAAAACCAGCAGCTTGTCTACCACGGTCCGTTTATGGACATGGTAGAAAAATGGTCAACGGTCAAAAAAGCTCACGACTACAGCTGGGTTCCGGCTTTAAGAGCCACTGGAGGACCTTCCGATGAAAGCCATTAGGTGGCTCTACAGCGCTTTTATGGGCCCCTCAAAGGGGGTCTGTAAAAGGGGCAAGCCCTGCCCAATACCTAATGACCTTGGAAGCGATGTGCAGGGGCGGACTGACCATTTGGAAACTCGGGCACTGCCTGAGGGCCCAGGGTCAGTAGGGGGCCCCCTGAGATGCCCCTGGTACCTTTTTCATAGGCTTTTTTGAGTTTGGGCAAGGACACAGGGGCCCCATGATCCCCTATTGCCCGGGAGCCCCATGAATTGTCAGTCCGCCAGGGTCACAGCTGTAAGTCGTCAACTGATGTAGCCGAGGATGCAGCTAATGAAACACAATCTGTGCTTGAATAGCTGCCCCGGAGGGCCTGTCACCTTCAAATGCTATCACTGAGCCCCCTTGTAGAGAGATTAAAAAAAAAAAAAGTTAAAAGTGCTAAAAAAAATTAAATAAAATTAAATTAATTTTTAAAAATGTTAACGGTCCGCCCTCAAAAAAAAAATAAAAAAATTAAAAAGAAAAGAAAAATAGGAATTACATAAAATAAATTAAAATAATTTAAAAAAACACACCCCTGCATACACCCTAAAAAAAAAAGCACAGTGTAGGGCGGGCGTGTGTATCACAAAGGTGGCTTGTTAGCCCCCTTGAGAAAGAAATAAAGTTAAAAAAACAATTTAAAAAAAAAAAAGGATTACATAAAATAATTAAAATTAATAAAAATGTTAACGTACTCCCCCATACACCCTATATAAAAAGCACAGTGCAGGACAAACGTGTGTCACATAGGTGGCTCGTTAGCCCCCTTGTGAGTGAACTAAAGTAAAAAAAAAATTACAAAGTGTAAAATAAAAAAGGAATTGCATAAATTAAATTTAAATAATAAAAAAATGTTAAACACCCCCCCCCCCGCACACACCCTATATAAAAAGCACGTGTATTCCATGGGTGGCTTGTTAGCCCCCTTATGAGAAAACCAAAGTTAAAAAAAAAGAAAAAAAAAAAAAAAGAAAATACATAAAATAATAATAATATTTTTTTAACGCGCCCCCGCACACACACCCAATATGAAAATCACCGCGTAGGGCGAGCATTTGTAAAACTTAGGTTGTTTGTTATCCCCACTGTGAGAGAAATACATTTTAAAATTAAAAAAAAAATTAGACATTGTGAAAAAAAAAAAAAAAAAAAAAATTCCATAAAATAAATTTTAATTATTTAAAAAATAAATGTAAGCCACCCGTGCGCACACCCCATATAAAAAGCACAGCGTGGGGCGGGCATTTATATCACATAGGTGGCTTGTTATCCCCATTGAGAAATAAAGGTTAAAAAAAATGTAGAAATTGTAAAAAAAAAAAATAATCATTACATAAAATAATTAAAAAAAATAAATAAATTTAGCGCACCCCCCCCCGCTCACCCCATATCAAAAGCACAGTGTAGGGTGAGCATGTGTATCCCATAGGTGTGTATCACTGTTATCCCATAGGTGGCTTTTTAGGCCCCTTGTGAGAGAGAAAAAAAAATTAAAAATGTAAAAAAAAAAAAAAAAAAAAAAAAAAACCCATAAATGAAGATAATTAAAAAAAAAAAAAATTGAACCACCCCCCACAGACAGCCCGTTTAAAAATGGCAGCACAGGACGGGCATGTGTATGTAAACATCAATGGTGTCACACACGTGTGCGATCGATGAGAGAGCGATAATTCTAGGACCATTATTCGCGGGTAACTAAACTGACGACCTGTAAAGGCTTTTAAAGCATCGCCTACGGAGAATTTGGGGTACCACCTTTTTTTTTTTTTTTTTTTTTTTTTGCAATTCCAGGGGCGTGCGCAATTCTAAGACCTGACGTGTTTGATATCTACTTACTCAACGCAACCCAATCTTTTGTATTTTACCAAAAACTGGATATAATCTCGTGTTTATTTGCACTAAAATTCATTATTTTTTCCTGAAAATATTCATTTGATAAATAATTGTGCAAATATTGTGCGACGTAAAAAAAAAAATTGCAACTACCGCAATTTTATTCCCCGGGGTCAGAAAACGTACTTTTTAAGGGTTTTAGTCATTTCTAGCAAAAAAAATGCAAATTTAAAAAAAAAAATTTTTTTGAACAAAAAAAATTGCCTCAGCAGGCAAGCTGTTCATTTCAAATTTCCTGTTCACTTCAACGCATTTTTTTTTTTTTTTTCAAAATGGTGAAATTTCCCCAAATCTCTATTTTCACCAAAATTTCGAGGAAATGAGATTTGTCGTTTTTATCCATTGCCATGAAGACTCCAGGAGGTGTAATTTGTGTATTTTTCTTGAAAATATGCATTTGATAAATAATTGTGCAAATATTGTGCGACGTAAAAACAAAATTGCAACTGCCACAATTTTATCCCTCGGGGTCAGAAAACATACTTTTTAAGGGTTTTACACTCATTTCTAGCACAAAAAAAATTACAAATTTTAAAGTGTGAAAAAAAAAATCTAAAAATTGGTTTTATTTCAAATTTCCTGTTCACTTCAATGCTTTTTTTTTTTTTCAAAATAGTGAAATTTCCCCAAATCTCTATTTTCACCAAAATTTTGAGGAAATGAGATTTCTCGGTTTTATTCAGGAGGTGAACATTTGGAATTTGCACAAATTTGCAGCTAAATTCGCCGCCCGTCTTCGGCCCGCATGACGCAACGCGCTCTCTCCGGAATTCGGGGATGGCGGTCTAACAATGAGCGGCGGGTGAAGGATTCAGCAGCAGCTTTGCATCTGGTAGCTGCCAGGGGCCCCGGACAGGAAGATAAGTGCGTGTGTGTCGTGTGAATTGTCAGGGGCCCCGGACAGGAAGATAAGTGCGTGTGTGCCGTGTGAATCGTCAGGGGCCCGTTTGAATCGTCAGGGGCCCCGGACAGGAAGATGAGTGCGTGTGTGCCGTGTGAATCGTCAGGGGCCCGTGTGAATCGTCAGGGGCCCGGCGTTCTTCAGAAACAAGCCGCGATAATGTGAGAAGGCAGATTAAGGAGATGATTATCTGTTGCCATCTGTAACTGTGGAGGAGCCGGGGCCCTCGGTTTATTTTTGATTTATAGGGAAGCAGATTGCGGCGTGTGCTCTCAGCGTTGTGGTTTAGGCTCGCATGATCTGTCTGTAGTCAGAGAACAGGCCCCGCCCACCGCGACGCAGATAACGCCATGCCGCTTCTAGATACCATTACAAATAAGAATTCAAGAGAAAAAAACAACGTTGTGTCTGTTAATGAAGTCTGTGTTCACATTGGGGCGAGTCGGGTTCATGGCCAACTATTTATTGGCGGTGGTCTTCTGGTGTCCGGGGGATGGGTGAAGGTTCTAGACCAGCAGGCCATGGCTTCGGTTCTCCTGGGCCTCCAGACAGGTGCTTGTCTCCTAACCTCCCATAGGGCATCCCAACCTCCCGCAGTGCTCCTCAACCTCCAGCAGTGCCCCTCAACCTCCCGCAGTGCTCCTCAACCTCCCGCAGTGCCCCTCAACCTCTCACAGTGCTCCTCAAACTCCCACAGTGCCCCTCAACCTCCCGCAGTGCCCCTCAACCTCCCGCAGTGCCTCTCAACCTCCCACAGTGCCCCTCAACCTCCCACAGTGCTTCTGCACCTCCTGCAGTGCCCTCTCAACCTCCCACAGTGCCCCTCAACCTCCCACAGTGCTTCTGCACCTCCTGCAGTGCCCCTCAACCTCCCACAGTGCCCCTCAACCTCCAGCAGTGCCCCTCAACCTCCCACAGTGCTCCTGCACCTCTTGCAGTGCCCCTCAACCTCCCGCAGTGCCCCTCAACTTCCCGCAGTGCTCCTCAACCTCCCGCAGTGCCCCTCAACTCTTGCAGTGCCCCTCAACCTCCCACAGTGCTTCTGCACCTCCTGCAGTGCCCCTCAACCTCCCGCAGTGCCCCTCAACCTCCAGCAGTGCCCCTCAACCTCCCGCAGTGCTCCTGCACCTCTTGCAGTGCCCCTCAACCTCCCGCAGTGCCCCTCAACTTCCCGCAGTGCCCCTCAACCTCCCGCAGTGCCCCTCAACCTCCCGCAGTGCCCCTCAACTTCCCGCAGTGCTCCTCAACCTCCCGCAGTGCCCCTCAACCTCCCGCAGTGCCCCTCAACTTTCCGCAGTGCCCCTCAACTTTCCGCAGTGCCCCTCAACCTCCTGCAGTGCCCCTCAACTTTCCGCAGTGCCCCTCAACCTCCCGCAGTGCCCCTCAACTTCCCGCAGTCCTCCTCAACCTCCCGCAGTGCCCCTCAACCTCCCGCAGTGCCCCTCAACTTCCTGCAGTCCTCCTCAACTTCTCGCAGTGCCCCTCAACTTGGTGGCCTACAGGGCCACCAAGTCATCTGAAGAGTCCCCTGACCCCCTCCAGAACCCCCATCCAAGATGTCACTATTTTGTATTTCTGTTGTTGGGAAGATTCTGGAAGACATTGCCGGTTGCTGGTGTTTGATGGGTAAGATGGAAGGTTAGACCTCCGTGAACATCGCTGGGCCCCTGAGGACCCAACTTCATCTTCTCCCAGAGTCGGCTCCTGTATGAATGCAGCGATACCCGCTCCTCCTCCATGGCTCGGCGTGTGAGTGCACAGACCTCCACGGGACCGATCACCCAATCATCACAGAGTAGTGGATGGGGGGGGCCTTCCTGTGGCCCCCCTGGATGGAGTTGGCTGCTCTGTGATTGGTAGAGAGGGAGATGTTGTGAGCTTTGGCAGTGGAGGAATTAGGGATCCGGGTACCCCGACATTGCAGATCTGAACATCATGTCATGTGACCACACCGGCAGCCTCCCCACCCCCATTGGTCGGGCCAGCAGCAGTCAGCTCAGTGTCCCCTATGATGTCGCCCGCAATTCCCGGCCCGCTTCTAGCGCCCCCTGTAGGCTGGTTAACATAAGCTGTGCTGCCGAGCCCCTTCTGACTCCTCCCTCCGATGTTTTGCTGTATTTCAGATGCTGTTTGACGCCGTCACTGGAAGGATGTGCGTTAGAAGTTTACACGCAGTGAGTCCCTCCCATCTCTTGTGAAATGTTTTGTGTGTGTAGGCGTGGCTTCCGCCTGAACTGCCACTTTGGCCCTGGCCCGACCCCCCCCCCCCCCCCCCCATTCCCCCACCTTCTGTGATTCTGTGTGTACGCCAGTCGCTTCGCCTTGTGCTGAGACTAACGGACGCCATTATCTGGCTGCCAGCTTGCGTGTTCTGTGAGTGTGGAAGTCACATGACTGTAAGGGGGCGGGGCTCCCCCTGCCGCGTGTATCCA